AAAAACCAAATCCTGACAAGCCCGACGCCGTATAAATTGTCGCAATCAAGCAGGCATACAAAAGCGGGAAACCAAAACGGGCGGCTGCCAAGGGGAGCCAAGTCGCAAAAAAGTCGGACGGAGGAGAATCGAGAAAACCGCCAGCAAGATGAATTACTGCAAATTATCCAGTTAGAACTTCGGGGACTTTGAAAAAAAACCAAAGGCGTGGATGGGCAGGATAAAGCGGTTCGCCGAGGGGACAAAGCCCGGCTAGATTCCGGGGAGAAGCTGGAAGCTGGAAAAAAGAGAAGGGCGGCAATTGCTGACGATTTAACGAGTGGCCGGGCAGAGCTTCATCCATCTGTCCTGCATTCATATAAGGCTCCTCCTATATATGTCTATATATATACAATGTGCATTTCGGGAATCTCAAGAGCTCAGCGTTCCATTGAATCGCTAACAAACACGATTGTTCACATACCGCAGGACTTAACTTCTTGGAGGAGAGGAGGATCAACAATACTGGGAATTGGCTGGTCAAAAACTTGTTTATTTGTTTTGCCAAAGAAACTATAATACAAAAACATACATATATACTATTATAGTTATATTACACAAAAAGTTCTTTTGTTTGTTTTTAGTTTATTTATTGTTCAAAGGCGACAAATTTAATATTTCAAAGACTATTTCCTGTTTTTTGAAGGCCACTTTCAACTCTTCCCTCAACTCTGAAAATAATCCGTGCAATCTCTCTTTATATTTTCATTTCTGTTTCATATAAATTGAATTGCTCAAGTGCCATCCATTAAGTAAATCAAATTTCACAGCTTCGGACTTTCACTTTAGAGGCGGGTAAATAGCCAAGAGCTCTTCTGTTTTTTGGTTTCCAGGAAAACTCCCTGCTTTCGCTGGCCATGAAAATATGACTTTAACCTTTTCCGCTTCTAGCCTGCTTATCGAAGCTTTTATTTTTCTGTTTTCTATTTTTTTTTTTTCGGCTGGCCACTGCCTAAGTCTGCGAAGAGGCGGGAACTCAAATAAAAATCACCCGCAGGACCCTTTGTCGGCCACATTCATTAATGTCAGCAGCAGTCGCCTCGTCTAGGACTCACTGTAAGCACATAATGTGCCGCAAAACGCATAAAATACATACAGACAGACAGGCACAGGCACATATACACAGCTGTCTGACACTGTAGTCGCTGGTAGTCTGTATTTCGCAGTCAGCCCGCTGTTTTATATAACGATTACGATAATGAAGCGTCGCCGTTTCCACTGAGCGCAGCATTTTTGTACACAAAATGAGCCAAATGAATGGCCCGGCTTTTGGGGGGCTTCCAGCGGGCTGGGGGCCATTCGGTGGGCGGAGCGCCTGGTGGGGTTGAGATGCTGGCTGGCGGTACAGCAGCATCAACGTCTGTCGTTGATGGCTTTTTGAAGTTCTCCTCGCTGGCAGGCGGCGCAATGATTGGGGATTATGACGAATTAATGAATTCAGATTTAAATAAAATTACGCGCGCCTGCTTGTTAGTGGCACACGCACATACACACAATTGTGGTCGAAATAATAGCATTCCGGGGCCCCCATTCCCTTTGGTTCTTATAATTAATTACATTATTATAGTCGCCAGACTTTAAAGTTCAAGAAGCTTTAAGGCTGAAAAGATAGGTTCCTGGTAGAGGAGCTTAGTTACTAGGTTATTTTAAGTGGGAATTATCATTATTGTAAACATAAATATTAATAAGTTAATTAAACCCTTTTGGTATTTAGCTTAAAATATGAATGAAATTACAGAAATTCGAGGAAGATAAAGGAGAATGTAATAACGTAATATAAATGAGAATATTTTCAACTTTATAGATAATCGAGAATGTTAATATAAGTATATTAATTAATTAATTATTAAAATTATTTAATATTTAATATTTCTTATATTCTTAATATTTAAATTAAATAATATTTATACATCTTAGAGCAAAAAAGTTATTCAGTAAAATAATCTCTGCCTTAAGTCCTTTTAACTTTATGAAAATATTAAAAAACATGGTAAGATATATTTAGAAAATCGCCCGTCAATGCTATTAACTTTTCCCCAACTGTAATTATATATATAGATATATATATACACCCACCTCCATCCTCCTTTCGTGGTGTACATTTAACGTTTGCTAATAGAATTAAAGTTTGCGGTGACTCGTTGCGGAATGGGAAATCAGTGGCAGTGGGAAATGGGAAATCGGTGAAATGGGTGGCATAATGAGCCAGCCAACGATCCAGGGGCCAGTGTAATTATGACAGCTATCGATGGGGGCATCTGGGGGGCGTGGCTGCTATCCAGGGAGGCGGACATTAACAACAGGCCGCAATTCGAGTTCGATTCGCAGTGTTCGCTTTTCCAGTTTTGCCCGCTTAATTAACAACAACAATTGCAATTGTACTACCCTTTTGGCCAAGCCTCCTCTTTAACCCCCCCCGCCCCCACTTTGCAGCAGCAGCAGCAGCACCTGAGCTGGCAATTTTTGTGTCATTTGGCGCGTGTAACCTTCGCCGTTCGTTTGTATTGTGTTGCGGCATTGTTGTTGATTGTTAATTGAAAAACAATGTTGTAGTTGGTTTCATCGGCGGCTGCACTTGAAGAGCTGCGAATTGCGAGGCGCGAACAACAGCTACACAGCTGCACATTGAGAAACTTTAATTTAATCGGATCAGATTTTATTAAAATATATTGAAAAAATTGATTTGCAGTTGGGTCAAAGGTACTCGTCTTACAGGCCATGTGAAGCCTAAATTGGTATTTGTTTTGATGCGCTTTTGCATATTCTTTAAGCTTAAATAAACCTGCCACTGAAGAAATTAACTGTATTATTTAAACTATAATTTTATAGATATTAAATAGCCAAGAATTAAATTAAATACCTATATATTATACTAACGAAGCTTTCAAAGGAAAAAACCAATTAACCCCCTTCTGACTTTTTAAACCAATTTTAAATCCGCTTATTATCTTAAAAACTTTTCAGATAATAGACATTATGTTCCTTTTATTTATCTCAAAGGTTCTTTATTTTTCTCTCTGCATACTACCGAATCAGCGGTAAGGGAGGGTAACTGTGGGCGTTGGGCGGAAAAGTGCGGCGCAAGCTTAATTAATTTTTATAAGGCCGCCTTCGCTGGCATCGTGGCTGCATTTTAATTACAGTGCACAGGAGTTGCGAGTTGCCTTAAGCGCATTGATTAAGTTTAATCAATGGCCCATAAGCAGGCAGTCGAGCAGAAGCAGGAGCAGCAGCGGCGGTACCACGAGCAGGAGAGCAAGGAGTAACGACAAGGATTCGGGGTCAGCTTGCAGCTCATTAAAGGCCGCATCGCAACTTTGACAAGAAATGTGCAATTAGCAGTGCAGGAGCAGGATAAAGGCAAAGTTGTCACATTATAATATTGAATGGCAAGCAGGCAGGCAGGAAGCTAAGAAGGACCTCAAGAAAATCGTGTGCCAGGCCAAAGCATCCGTTGCCTTGCTGAGAATATGTGAAAGGATTTTGCAGAATGTCAAGTGAAAATCACTTGAAAATTATCATTAAAATGTTCTTTTATGGAAATCATTCCGGGCAAAAATCAAATAATTTTGCATCAGTCAAGTTGAAAACATTGAAATTGATACATTTACTGGCTAATTGGGCAGTTTAACAGATTCCTCATAAAGTGTATTTGCAATTGATTTTGTGATGTCCAATCAAAAGTCAATAATCCTAATTAAAGGTAAACTTTGAGAGGAAAATACTTGTGTGGTGGCTTCAAAGGATAGAGCAAAAATCGTTTACTTTCTGTTTAATTTTAGGAATTTAAGTTGCAGGATTAACGAGCTAAAGGGTGGTTATGCCAAATATTTCACCTGTTTGCTATTAAGTTTCAAAAATATGTAATAGAACCCCTTTTGCGTTCCCCTATTTGTCTCTCCACCATCATTATAAATAGCTCCTTAATTAAATAGCAAAAATTTATTATCGAAAATGCACATTTATTTTGATATTTATCATTAATGCCTCAATTCAACAACTGCACACACAATTCACGTTCTGGCCAATGCAATTGAGCCCTAATCTGATTGTGATGGCCAATTTAGCAGCACATTTGCTGCATTCATTCGTCGCGTCAATTAAAATATCAAATGACAACCAGTTGGCGGGTCAGTCAGTCAGTCAGTCAGTTGGCCAGCAGTTCATCATTCCCGCATGTCCAGTTAGCGGGCCTGTAATGAGCCAGTCAGCCAGCCAGTGGAAAGTCAGCGGGCGCAGTTAGTTAGTTAGTTAGTGCGCTGGTTTGACAGTCAACTATCATTATAAGTTCTTTTGCGCCATAATGGCTAAAAGTTTTGCTCTGCTGGGGGGAGGTTGGTGGGGTAAAAGAGGGGAGTTGGTGGGTGGCCAGTAGGGAGTGTGTGTGAGTGTGTGTGTGCCGGCCATTGTGCGCACTCACTTTGCAATTAGCAGCAGTTTTGTCTGCTGCGAACATTTATTCAGGCCATTAATTGAGTTGCTCGCACCGAGGAGGCAAACTTCGAGTGCTTCTGCACCGACTGCAACAAAGGAGCGAAGGACCCGGGCACTGGAGACGAAGGAGTGTAGCCAAGTCGCGGAAAATGAGTTGGCAAATGAAAAATTGCCACATTTTACGCAACGGGAAAAAAGGCAAATATATTAGTCTATCGATATCAAAGGGTAAAATAGATGGGGATATATCGATTTCTGGACTAGAAAGGGGAACAAGCTTTAAATAAATGTTAAATATTATTTTGTAAAATAAGGAATTACTTGTTGAAAACTTGGAAATATAGTTTGTATTTTATAAACATTTAATTAAAATATTTTTAAATTAATTCAAGTCTTTTTTAGACCTAAGAATAGATGAAATACTATAATATTGTAAGAAATTCCATAAGAAAAATATAAATAAAACCCTTAAACAAATATTTAAGCTTATAACTAACCAATCTCTTTTTCCACTTGATTACTTTCAGATCGAGGACGCCATGTTGATGTTCGACAAGCAGACCAATCGGCACAGAGGTGAGTTATCGCCATCGCTCTTACTCTCATTTTTGCAATCGTTATCGTTATCAGCATTGCTATCTATGAAAATCATCATCATAAATGCCACAAAACATTTGCTAGCCCCGTTTCCGGACTTTAACGAGCCGGAGCCGGAAGTGCGAGAGCTTAGCAATGCATGTACACCCTCAAACACACACCCACTCACACAACACAACACGAATGTCAATGTATCATGCATGGCAGGATGCTCATAAGCAAAGGGCTAATACAGTTTTAAAACCTTGTCGGGGCATTAAAATGGCCGGGCAACAGGAAGTAGGAAGTAGAGGGACCCGAAAAGATTACCTGCCAATGCAACCGGATATAAGGGCCATAAGAGACGGCCATCCTCTTACGTTGCCGGATGGCTGTTCCAGTGGGTGGTTCATAGGGTTCACACTGGAGTGAAGTGGCTTTTGGCTGGTGGTTCAGGTGGTCCGGTGGGTGGACATTGCTTCAGGGGAGGAGCGGGTGTACATGCTGCAGGCCAGCGAGGTCAGCAGCTGAGGTGCGCTGGGTGGCCGGCAGAAGGCTTAAATCTCCAGTGTACATCCGCTACACGAACTTGTAGCGCACGACTGCGTCCATTGCGTTTGTCCAGCTGTCCGTCCAACTGTCCAAGTACCCTGTCGGAGTGTCCGGCTTCCAGTGCACTGTTACAAAAAATTGGGATTAGGAAAAGTTAACTTAAAAGTGACATTAAATCTGTAAAAGTAAAAGAGGTATGCTGCAAATTGTTTAGCTTATGTACATATTTTTCTTTTAATGAATTTCCTTAGCTTATTCTAAGATTTTTATGTTGTCGGGGTAAATAATAAACATTTATTCTATTTTAAATACTTACTAAATATGATATTAAACACGCTTAATATAGTTTTGTAATATTTTAAAATATTTTATTTGAGATTAAAAATATTTAAACAATTATTTATTGCCTTAAACCCCTATTTAAATGACTTTTAAGCTAAAATTTATACTGAAAACCTCTTTAAATCATTACATAAAATGTACAATTTCCTAGGAAAAACCTAAAAGGCTTCCATTTCCTCCGCAAAAGTTAAAAATACAAATTTCTTGAGAAAAATGTCATCATTTGACATATAAAATCCTAAGTAGCTTAAAATGTTTTCTACAGAAACCATTTATAAATTCCCACATTTTTTTTGCAACCCTTTTTATGTCCAGTGTGCGTGTGTCCTTTTTGTGTCCTGCTGCACAGTCCAATGCCTTGTCGTTGTCAATTTTGCTTATTAAAGTTTTAAATGACGCCCCGAATTTCGCATTGTGACCCCGAGATTCGACCCCCACATGGAGGTCCGACTGGGAAACAACCTGAGACACGGCGCATTAAGATTGATGTGCCCAATTTTGCACAAACCAAAAGGCAGCACAGCCGAGCCGCAGCTCAAAAGTAATTAGCTCACACGGACGCAAACCGGAGGCCAGCATGCATCAATAGTTGTTGCTGGTCTCGGGTTTGGCGCAATCATTCCGCCACTTGGCAAACACCGCCCCTCCGTGCCACCCGCTACATGTTGTTCATATTCCGCTCTCCCACCACCACCACCACCACCGGACATTGTTAACTTTTGCGCCCTTCAAATTACGCACACGGGAATAAGAAAACATGATTTTTGCTTGTGCGCGGCCCATAAAAAATTGTAGCATACTTCTGTGCGCCGCATCGCAGATAAGCGCAAAAAGCGGCGGCGAATAGAGGGGACTGGGAAAAAAGCGGGCTGCAGAGATAGAGCCGTGGGCCCACAGAACATTTCGCTTAATTGGACGCTGGAGTACGCTGAAACTGCATGATGATGCAGTCATACACACATATAGTACATAAAAAATACAAAAAACGGAAGGCTTGAAAACGGGGCGGGCCAATAAAAACAAATATGAGGCATTTTAAAAATAATGTGAAGGACGCCCAGCCATCACATCAAAGATTTAGTCACCCGGGGACCAAGCGGCAATAATGAGCAAAATAAATAACCTACAGCACACACAAATTTTTAACGAATTTCCGGCGCAGTTCCCAGGGTTTTCAATTAAAAATGCATTTGCCAAGGGGGAGAAGGAAAACTTAATCGAGGCAAACTAACTAATTTTGCAAATGATTTTCCCAAATTAAATGAAATATCCTTGCCAGTCTTGACCCGTCAAATCAAAGATTTAGGCCAAGTCACAAGCCAAAACAATTTCCAGCCATCTCCTCCAGCAATTACCTGTGCAGAGACTTGGCTTGACCATGCCGTGATTTGCCAATTTCGCAATTAAAAATGCATTGACCAGAGTTGAGTGGGACAGTTTAGCTATTGACACCACTCATTGGCCGGGCACAATTCATTTCGGCCAGGACATGTCAGCCTTGCAAATTGCAAATCGCAAATTACAATTGCGTGCATCGATCGGCGATGAAATATGCAGGTGCTTTCTCCTTTCTGCTAGCCACCAACTGGCCAACTTCACAGCGACCAGCGGGCAAGTCAATAGAAAATGTGTGTCGTTAATCAAAGGGTATTAGTTGTAGCAGCTGCCCCCCTCGGTGGAGGAGGAGGACGAGCAAGAGTCCTGTGTGAGGACGAGGACAACGCTGGCGACTTTTTGTACAGTCGGACGATGTACGATGTACGATGTACGACCTTATTGCCATGAGGAGTCGGAGTCCGTTGCCTACTGGCACTTGCGATATGCCTGTAATTGCATTTTATCGATCCGATCCGGCAGCTCCCTACATATATATATACATATCTGTGTGTGGCAATTGCCACGTACACTCACACACACACACCAACTATAATAAAGAGGGGGCAACACGAAAAAAAAAAGAGGGAAAATGTAAAAGAAAAGTGGAAAAGACGTCGTTGGTTGCTCGGCTACACGGCAGCAAGTTTGTTACTCATTCATAAATCATGTGTGCAGCACAGCGACATATAGACAGATGGGCAAATAGACAGACAGCCAGCGAGGCAACTCATATACGAGTACGAGTACGAGTAGCCTGGTCACTGAAAATTGCAGCGCCGCTTTCCAGCTAACAACGGCAGTGGCAGTTGGCCCAGAACCGACAGAGAGCCGCACAGCCCATAAGCCAGAAGCCAGAACTCTACAAGCGTTTCATATACTGGATACGGCACGACACATACGGGAGGATATGGGATATGGGATAAGGGCAGAGGGAAAAAATAAAACAAGATATAGGAAACGATATATGAATATGCCATAAAACAATATAGGCAGGCCGGGCCAGTAACAGCAATAACAACAGCGGGGATGACAACAACGCGGTCGAGGGCAATTGCAATTACAGTGGAGATGCGCTAAGGGGAATTGGGATTAGGCAGAAAATCAATTTAAAATATGTAGTAACTGGGAAATGGTGCCAAATATTAATAGATTGAGAGTTTATGTATAGAAAAAATCTATGAAAAGTCAAGTCATTATTAATACTCTTCTTAAGGCCAAGAATAGGCTTTATAATTAAAAACTTCTTCTTATAAAAATATGAAAATATTAAAGTTAAAGTCTACAAAAAGTAATAAGCAATATGTCCTGTACAAATATAGAGTTCACAACAGCCGAGCTGCGCCCAAAACTATGCTATGAATTTCATTTGGCAAGCCAAGGACATGCCCAACGTGCGCCTAAGCAGCCAGTTTGTGGGCGGCCGGGCTTCGGTGCGGTTGGGTGTTATTTTTCAGTGGGTATTTTTCCGGGTGGCTTAGGTGGCCAGGAACGAATTCGGGTAGCTTTCGGGGGCCCCGGCTTGGCAGTTGGCGTCGTCAGCCGCCACTAATATTAAAATTGAAAATTTTGTAATTTTTCTTTTTGGCAAGCCGGCGCAGCGCAGTCATAACAGCAGCAGCAGCTGCTGCTGCTACTCCCCCTGCTGCTGTCCCCCCACTCCTACCCCTAGAGCATATATCTGTGTCCGCTTCTTGGCAATAACATGCATGAGTGTGCAATTTTTGCAGTTGCCAAGACCATCGTCAGCTCCTATCGCTCCAGCGAGCGCCGTCCTGCGGGAAATTTTCGACAGGTAAAAATGGCAGTTGGGACGGGCTCAACACAGAACTCACAATCAGACTCACCTGAGAGCTGGAAGCCTGAAGCTTCAGGCCGCGGAATTAACTGGCCAACGAGCCCTGGCCGTAGCCCATTCCTCATGCTGGCCGGGTGCATTTGTATCCAGCAGATACATTTTTGATTGAGTTACGTGTGGAGCGCGGAGCAGGTACGGAAAATTGCCGGCTTCATTTGTTCCAAGGCTGCTGATTTATGAAGTTGCAACGGAATAGAAAATAAAAACCTGAAGAAGCCCAGGGGCTACACTAGAAAAATTCAATTATAAGTTATGATTAATTTACGAAAGTGTATTTTAGGGTTTTTTTAGGAATACAATAGGAAACTTGATCAGTAAACTTATTTCTGAGGCCTTCTTAGAACCTTTTTAACAAGCATTTAAAAGCTTTAAATAGCTTATTTAAATTGTTTATAAATACTGAGTTAGTTACTGCTTAAAAAATTCAAAAACTATAACTTACAACCTCCAATTTCTTTTCTAAAAATAAAACCTCAGGGAGCTATCAAAATCTCCCTGTAAATTTAGCAGTTTTAGAACTTCTTTCTTCGTGTGCAGCTTTACGTGCAACCTGCAACGTGCGCTAATTTTATATAATTAAAACAAATACAAACACACTCCAGGAAGAGCAGTTTCGCCCGCACGTTGTCTCAAGGAAAGGAGCTCTCCGCTTGGAGCTCAGCTTGGAGCTTCTGCTGCTCGGCACATGTCGCTAATAAGCCTGCGTGTTTACTGTTACTTGTTTCAACTAATTTGTCAGTTACGCCCCAGCTCGGCCACGCCCACGCCCACAGCCCCCGTGAAACGCCCCCTCCAAGGGTCCCCTCTAAGGCCCGCATGGCAAGGCAAACACAAGTACAGGATATATATACACAAACACAAACAAAATGCTGGCGCCGGGGCATCAGGTGTCTGCACTTGGCCTTGCTAATTGCATAGAGAGACCGAGCGAGAGAGAGCCCTTCTTTTCGACCATGTGAAATCTCAGACAATTGCGCTAATTGAAAAGCCCCGATAAGGCCAAAGTGCCGAAATCGGAAGGGGGAAAATCGGAGCAGCATGGAGGAGCACTAAGAGGATAGAGGACAGAGCGCTAGGCAATGCTAGAAAGCCTTAAAATGGAATTTCCTATGGCTTCCAATCTGATGGCAAACTTGCGTCCTACTTTTGGCCACTCCAAATGAAGTAACTTAAAGGGAGAATGATAAAAAAAAGATAATTAAGTCATTGTTTTAATTTATGTAATTAATATTGTGATTTCTAATAGGATAAGATATTGTTTTCTTGATATAAAAACTGATTTAAGTGACTTTAACTGGAAATTAAGCCCTTTTTTAAATTTTATATATTTTTTAAGACCTTTATTCTATATTAAACATAATTTATATGATTATATAAATAGGATTAAGTATGATTTCTCTGTAACATAAAGAGCTTTATGTGACTGTTTTTTATTATAATTTAATAATAATCACTTATTAATGCTAAAAAACATTTTAATGTAATTACCTTTAAATCACTCGTGAGAAAACCTTTAAGTGAAAAAAGTAAAGTAAGTAAAAATATAAAAATAAAACCCACGAACTATCACTGTCCCCAGCTATTAAAACCAGTTTTCAACTAAATAAGAATATCCAGCAACTATAACTTTTACTTTGCACAAATTGCAACGTCTACAAATTGAAGAAATTTAATTAAGCCATAATAAATCCTTTCCCAATTCCGGGCATAAAAACCCCCGAAATGACTTGACATTCCGGGAATTTGAGTTCTTCGTCAGCCACCAATTGGAGGATATCCAGAGAGTGGCCACGCTGCTCTAGAGCTGGCCAGCGCCATTAGGACAAAGTTATTATGCCCGATCCCAAGGCGGCGAGGGGCGGGTCAAGATGGGGGGCCCAGGACTGGGGATTCAAGGAGGGAGCCAAGCTGGCAAAGTTTATTATGTAAACTCGGAGCGGCCAGTGTTTGAATTACTCGCCCAGCCGCCACTTGAGGCCCTGCAGGGGATGCATATTGAGGTCAGCCGGAGGACAGCTATCCTGGCCTGGCCGGGCTATGGCCTGGCTCTGGCTCTGGCTTTGTAAAGGGATGGGTAGGGGAATGTCCTGGGTGTCCTGCAAAGGGGTGAGGGCGCCGCCTCTGTCTCGGTCTCGACACTTGAGTAAATTATTTAGCCGCTCGCTCACACAAAAGCATATTTCGTTCAATTTTTGCAGCCCTTAAACTTTTTCTGCCCCACTCTCACTCACTCATCCTCGCTTCTCCGCTCTTATTTTGCAGGTTTTGGCTTCGTTACATTTCAAAGCGAAGATGTGGTAGACAAAGTTTGCGAAATTCATTTCCACGAGATAAACAACAAAATGGTAAGTGAAGCGTGGCGGTCTGAATCGCAGCCCAGGAGGCTTAACTTCCCCTTCATCTTTAAGTTTTTCCTTTTCTTTTGCCATACACAGCAAAAATACTTTCCCGGAATTGCCCATCAATTTATGATTTTATTATGGCAAAAATATCAAATAGCTCTGGTGGAATAATATATTTATACAAGGACTGAAGCACCTTGAGCAGATGTCTCTATTTATTTTCTTATTTGTTATTATTTGTGTATTTAATAAATAATATTAGTGTCATTGTTTTGCTCTCTTCCTATTTAATTTAAATATAATTTGCAAGAGTTGAAGGCTTTAGAAACGTGTCTAGTATCCTCAAACAAATTAATATTACATTTTAGATAAATTGCCAAAGAAACTCTTCTTTAAATTATGTTTTATTAACAGTAAAAATATTTTTAATTTCCCTTTTAGCGAAATAAATATTCAAAAATATTTTATAAATATTTTTAACTCATTTCTTTACAAATTTCCAACAAAATATTTATTTAAAAAATGCATATAACCTCTTAAAACTCATTTATGTTTATTTCTTACCTCCACAGGTCGAATGCAAGAAGGCGCAGCCGAAGGAGGTGATGCTGCCTGCCAACCTGGCCAAGACACGGGCTGCCGGGCGCTCCGCATACGGTGAGTTGGTAGTCTGGGGCAGCAGCCACGCCCATTCCTCGGCGGCCACGTCCGCCGCTGCCGCAGCCGCAGGCTTGCTGCCGAGTAGTTTAGCGGCTGCCGCCTCCGTGCTGCAGCAGCACCAGCAGCAGCAGCAGCACCAACAGCAGCAGCAACAACAGCAACAACATCAGCACCACCAGCAACTACACACGCACACACAGTCGGCACACACAACACACACTCACCACCAGCTGCTGAGCTCGCTAAGGTACACACCTTATCCCCTGCCCGCTCACCTTTCGGCGGCAGCCGTGGTTGCCGCCCAGCAGCAGCAGCAACAGCAGCAGCAACACCAAGCAGCTGCCGCCCAGCAGCAACACCAAGCAGTTGCTGCACAGCAGCATCAACAGCAGCAGCAACATAGCCTTGCCCAGGTGGTGGCCGCTGCTGCAGGTGCTCCGGGACTGCTCCCACTGGCCAGTCCCTCGCCCGCCTCAGCCACGCCCTCGCTGCTCCAGTACGCGGCAGCTGCCAATGCTTTGCCCGGTCAGAGCAACGCCGCCTTGGCCAATTCTCTGTATGCCGATGCCGCCGCCGTCGTTGGCTACAAGCGACTCCTGGCCGCGGCGGCAGTGAGCAGTGGTCTAAGGACTCCCGCCTCCGCTTTGGGTGCTCTGCAAGCAGCGGCTCCGGCTGCTGCCGCCGCAGCCGCTGCCCAATTGCAGCAGGCACAACTTCGACAAAATGCTGCCTTGGCTGCAGCCCATTATCCGCTCAGCGAACTCCTGGCCATGCCGGGCGGCTTGGAGATGGCGGGAGCGGGTGCCAACTCTGCGGCAGCTGCGGCGGCCTCGCTGTACCAACTGCCCGGAATCTGACCGAACAGGCCCCAGTGAGAGGTCCTTAAGGCAGCCAAAAGTTTGATTTCAATATCGCAAGATATTCATTAGGAATTCCATATCTAAAGATGTTTTCATCAAGATATTCCTTTATAAAAATTTGAAATTTAAAGGCTTTAATTTAAAGAATCTTGGTTTAGTCAAAGATAATAAAATATACACAATTTGTATAAATTAATCAGCGATTTATTTAGCTTAATGAATTTTAATTGCTTAATCTGCAAATTGGAAAACTGCAAGGCTTACAAAACCTATAATTATATATTGTTTGATTAAAAAATGTTTGCTCAATATAAATTTTCCCACTCTTATCGATAGGAAAATGTATTTTAAGCGATTTTATTCGTCCAATTAATTAAAAATGCATCAGTCAAACAAATTAATCAAGCGCAAGAGTAACAAAGTTAATCCTAGAAAATTTCGCAAAATTTGCTTGATTTATTAATCAAAAGATAAATATACATTTTTATAATAAGCCATATATTATGTTTGGTTTACTGATTTTCCCAAGCAAGCAAAGGAAACAATAGCAAAATTATTAAAAGAAATTCTGACTAAACCAAAGTCTTTAAATTTGCCCAAGATTGCAAAGCTTCTCCAGGCTCAACTTTTTTGATAAAAGTTTTAACTAATAACCAGCACACTCTCAAGACACAACCACAAGACACACACTAAACGACTATACACCTACATATACATACAATATATATGACTCTCATTCCGTCTCAATGTCCAAAATAATATATTAAGCGGCGATTAAGCGCGAATCGCCTTTAAAGCCTAGGCCTAGGATTACGTGTACTTTTACTTACAATTAGCCATGTACTTATGCCATATGTACTATATATCGTATATATATCTTATATATTTTGTGTCTGTCTAAGCTGCGTTTAGGCCACGCGGCGTATGCGTTATCTAACCGAATTACTTACAATAGCGGCGCATTCGTTTTCTTTCCTTAGACTCTAAGCGAACTTTGATTACTTAAGAACTAGGCTAAGTGCAGGTCCTAGAGAGCTGCTTAGATACATAACATACTTACTATCGAGGCAATCGATAAACCCTAGACCTTAGAAGGCGATCGTAACAGTTATCATTATGTAATGCGTCTTAGACACCTGGCGACTTTGCTAGACTTTGCCGTAAGAGCCCCACATGTGGATGTAAAAAAACTAATTAAACAACTAATGCCAAGCGAGACGAAAGTCATCACTCATTTATGTTTTGCGTGTGTGTGAGAACGGACTCTCTCCTGTACCATATATATCGAACATTTCTTATTATACTTACTAATACGTACCACTCATATCAATAGCTCTTTCTAAAAGTGTATTTATCTAGCCCCAAAGCCAAAAGCGAGCATTTAACCGAATCGAATTCAATCCTAGCAAATGTATCGAATTAGCGATTAAGTTGGATTAAGAAAAGGCCAGCGGAGGCCGGACGGAAGGACGGCCCCTTAAGGTATTAGAAAGTATACACTCTTATTCAAGTAGGCATTGGCGGTGTGTGTAACCGAGTTAGTTTGAAAAATTGATGACTCGAGCCGGGCCGGCTGGGCAGATGCCATCGAAGCCATCGGCCGGACAGCTGTCCGAGTGTAATTTTCCGAAATGGATCATGGATAATGGATGTGCAGTGTGCTCTGTGCAGTGTGCATTCGGGCCAATTACAGGGACCCGGCCAAATTACGGCTCAGACAGCTGATGGCCGGACCGACTGGTAATAGGAGGCAACTCCCCCGGCCATCCGTCATCTCCTTGTGTCCGCACACACACATATATTGTTTGCCATAGCCATTAATATTTGACTAAACTCGAAACTAGCTATTTATTATACATGCATAAACAACCACATATACACGCATCTATTGCATTACGATAAGCGCATTAAGCGCTCAAATTCAAACTCTAACTCAAATTCAAATTCGAATCAAACGCAAATTCAACTCCTAGTTAAATCCATTGTAACATTAGCCTAAGTTGCAACAATCGGAAGAAGACACAAGACAGGAAACGAGCCGCCACCAGCCGCCCTTCGATGTCACGAATGAACGAACGAATGAAGGAACGAATGAAGGAACGAATGAAGGAACTAGCTAAGGAACTTCACTGAGAAACCGGAAGTCACTCGAGAGGCCGATGCAAAATTTAAACAAAAATTTCTTAACTAACATCTAATAGCTGTCAACCCTCCTCTATATTCTACCCCCTTGAGTTGTAGTGTTTAACTAGCCCACATATACTTATAGTTTTTGCCAATTGTGCGTGTTTAGTTTCAATAATATTTTCTATTATTTCCTTTACCAAATTTTCCTAATACCTTAGCTTTTCGGGCGCGGGGCAATGGTCTGCAGACATGGGGCATTTTTGTAGAAATGCACAACGGCAGGCCCTTAGAATTGCCCCCGCCCGATATAACATATAACAATTATAATTAGCAGAAAATTTCAAATTTATAATCATAGAATAGAAACTAAATGTCTTAGATCTACATATCTAATAAGTGTTTAGAATTGTGTCATATCTGCGGTATATCGAACCAATGTAACTCTACATATATATAACTCTATATAAACATAGCTCAGATCAAGGCTGTTAATGCAGAAATGGAAAACGAATCGGGAGATATCTATATCCCCCTTAGTTGCGCACTGGAAAAAGAGTCGAGCAGTCGCAAAACATTTCTTAGAACTCAGAAAACATATACAACTATATATAAGAGTAGTATATAGCGGAACGATCGATCTGGGGTCGGCAGTTCCTTAGTTGACACACTTAATTAGAACTCTAAGTACACACGAGTCGATCGAATACGTATAGTAAATCAGTCAATCCATATTTACACTCTATAACAACTAGTCCTGATATAATCTCGATACTCTTTTGTTTTGAATTCAATATTAGCTCTGATAAAATCGTGTGAGAATGCCAGTAATTATCTGTTTTTGCCTTTCTTTTCTGTGCTCTCTCTCTCGTTTCTTATATGCGACTCCTCTAGATAACATCATGTGGGGACTGGGGACATTGCCCGAAGGTGAGAGCTACATATATCCTCTATAAGTATATTCTATTAAATAATTAACATTCTTTTAAATAGGTTTTCCGGCAGCAGCCTATGCTGCCTACGCTGCTGGTCGCGGCTACTCGGGCTATCCCAGCTTTGGACTGCCCTATCCAACTGGTAAGTCCAACAAATACCCATGTATCCACACGCTTAGACACACCTGAACCTTGCACAGCGCACACACAGAATCACACCTGCTCAGCCCCTGTTCATTACTTGTATGTGAGTGAGAGTGTGAAGAAGCAACCCCGTGACTAAAACCAACCATAAAACACACACACATCTGCCACATGAAAGCCCCCCCAACCGAATCTGTGTGCCACTTGATATGACGAAAGGCCATATTTTACACTGCGATAACCCGCATTAGCATTACTAACCCAGCTAGCTCGTCGTCTGCCCTCGATGTTCTATATATTCGAACCGAACTACAGCCACAAAACATCCATGTCTCCCCTTAGTTTTGCTTTGATCACTCTTTATTCTTTTGTATTTGTATTTGCTTTGCAGCGGGTGTGATGGGCGTAGTGCCGGAGAATCGGATACTGATTGGCGACTACATGACCTAGGACATGGCGGCCCCCAATGACTATTTATCGAGTATTACTCATTACTGAATTAAATCAAATAAATCACTGTTTTCTAAATAAAAAGAAAGAGCAAAAAAAAGCGTTCGTCATATCAATGCACAATGTAGCTGAAAAGATCGGAGAACCAATTGAAGACACTCACAGCGCCACATGACATATAGAACCCCCTCTAGAATTGTGTCCTGCGCATCCAGCTGATATTTCCCTTAAAGCTTGGCCTTGAGTTTATCATTTGTCCACCACTGAACAACACACTGAGAGATCCCACAAAACCCAACACACTGGCTACTAGGGCTTTTAGCTGATGTCAATAAATACCTTTCCCTCTGTGTGAGCTAGAGCTGTACAACAATCGGGATATTAATCGAAAAAATCGATAGACCTGTACTGCAATCGAGGCAGTTATCAAACAAAATTTAAGATTAAAGTTCCTTTACTAATTTAACTCGAATTACGATATAAAACTTAAACTGATGGGTAACGTTTGGAAAGGTTTTATACCAATTTACCAATTATATATTTGGTTTTTATAATATTCATCGATAATATATCGAAATTTATTATCCAGTTTTATTTTATTCATTTATACTCTAAAAGTAAAATCTGAAATAATACAAATTCATGTTTAGGACCTCAAAATTCTCATAAGAAGTTTTTATAAAATGTTTATAATTAGTTTTAATACATTTAACATAATTTTGGTACATTTGTAGGGTACCTGTAGGGTACCTATTGCAACTAGAGCTTGAGAATTACCTAATTGTTCGATATATGAAATGGAAAATTGAACTTAAAGCGATTATATTTCTAGCTCGACTTAAGAAAGACTTAAATTATTTACCCATAACCTTTATATTTTATATCTTAAATTTAAAACTACATTTAGAACTATAGTATTTTGATTTCAAAAACTGAAATTCAGAGCTTCTTTAAACCGATAGTTTTGCAGCTCTAGCATGCAGAGGCTGTGCCTAAAAACTGTTTTGACCCCTTCTCTCCATCTCGCTCTCTGACTCTTTCTCTCTATCTATCTCTCTCTCTCTCTCTCTCTGTTCATCTATATCTTGTATCTCGTATGATTTTGTAGGCTTGACAATTTGCGGCATCGGTCGAAGTTATGGGACCGCTTGTAGCGCTGCCCCGGGCCGCAGCAGAGTGGCCCAACCGAATGGCGCCGCCTCTGCTGCTGCGGCCCCCTCCGGTGCCGCCGCTGGCCACGCCCAGTCGGCATACCACCAACAGGCGCTGACCTTGCCACTGGCCACGGCACTGACGGCCCGATCCGCGGCCATCAAATCGCAGTTTCTGGGCAACATAAATTTCTAGGCGAGAGACCAAGACCAAGAACCAAGTCTGATTGAGTGAAGATTGAGAGTGACCCACGACTCGACTCCCCCGACTCGCAATGAGACTGTGAGACCCAGAGTCGCCCCCTTTCTGTGTGTCAAGTAATCATGTGAACGGTGACAAGTAGGTACAGCTTAGTGTAGCCTGTATCTACGGTAAATGGTAACCACTACAACAGTAAACAGCAACCACAAGAGAACACCAAGTGGCGGGCGAAGAACTAACGAGAGACTCGATTTGAAAAGAACTACATAGAAAATGTAACTTGGACACCCAAAACATAGATACACACACACACACACTCTTAGCCCATATAGCCGGACAACACACACAAACAGAACTTACGTACTAGACGCGACTCCCTAAGAAGTATACCCCATATATAAGTATATATTGTTGGAGCAGTTAACCAATTACCGCAGCAGTATTAGCCGGAAACCCTAAGTAGTGACTAGAGGCATCCCAAAACGTATAATAAAGTACCTATAATTGCGTATTCATAGAGCTAGAGCGGCTAGAGCACCCGTAACCAGTTAGAGTCGTCTAGAACTAGGCCAGCATAATCACCCCGCAACAGCCAAGCGCCTATATAATCACACCAACACAAACACGTCTCTCTAGAAGCCCAATTAGACATGTGACACTTTGTGTAACGAATTAATATATGTAGCGAACTATACTCGATCTTCATACAGTCGTCCCCACTCACTTCACTTCAGTTCACTTCACTTTACGCCACTTCACTTAACTTTTCACCCACTCGAAAGTATACTGTATCTGGCTTTTTGCACCCTGACCTGGACCCATTTGTATCCCGGTTTCAGGGACGCACATCTATTATTTATAAAACTATTTTGCGTAGCATTTAAATGCAAATTTCATTTGTAGTCCCTGTATGCATAAATTAGTTGCTACCCACAACAACGACAGCAGCAGCAACAGCAACAGCAGCAACGGGAACTGGCAACTGGCAACTGCACATGGAAAAACATTTAGATAACAACAAATTTTAGCAGGCCTGTCACATGTAGTGCCATTATTATCCTTTAATTAATTTGCCGCGCATTATGTATGGAATTTTGCCAGTTTTTTCTTTGCCATTTGTTGCTGCTGCTGCTGCTGCTGTTGGTCGGTGGGTCCCATGAGTTTTTAGATAATTAGCAAACGTGCAGAGATTTTTGCCATAGCTAAAGTTCATTAATTAGTAGATTTGCCCATTATCCGTAGCTGTTTTATATTATATATATATACTATATTAGCAAAAACCACATTTGGCCCGCATATATATACGTTTTGAAGCCTTTACTCTATATGCATATAAATTCCTTCCTTCATCGGTGCATCGCAAGAATTCCAAAATGGCCAACCAAAAAAAAGTAAAGAACAAAAAACGAGCGAAATTTTTTGACATTTCTATTTAAACTGCATACATAGACATTACGATATATACCTATATTATACCTACTATACATGAATATTTATATATATACACATATTTAATATACGACGTTTACAAGCTAAGTTATTGAGTATCCATTTTATATGCGAGGCGAGACTCGATTTGATTTGTACAATAACGAAAAATACAATATTAATGTCCATCCATTTTCGAAGAGCAAACTTAAAAGAAAAGCAAGGAAAAGTCAAGAAAAGCGACAGCGAAATGAAAACAAATCTCTTTAAGTTGATGAAAAATGCAATTTTTCTATGTCCCCTCCATTCGATGCGTAACTATAAGTCCCTCTTGCCCACACACTTAGCTATTTAAACACACACAGACACACACACACGAAGGAATCTCGAACCTATCAAAGGAACTAAGATCAATAACTCTATAAATGGATAAGCTGTTACTTAGTTAATTGAAATGCAATTATCGCCACTTTGGGAGGAACTGCTTCGAGGTATTTGCAACTATTTAAATTGACAAAATAAAAAACAAACCGCTTGCGAGTTATTTACATACAAATAAAAACCTATATAGACACACACACGCTCATACCTATATGTATTTTACACGTATATACTGTGATTTATAAGAAAACGCTTCAAACGAGAACAAGAAACCCATTTGCCAAACGCAGAATTGAAATCGCTTGCGCAGAAACGCATCAAACAGAAAATGGAAAATGAAAAGTTATTAACTAAATAAATGCACAAAAAGAAAAACTTAAAATAAATAAAAATAAATGCGGACGCAAAGCCGAAACCAAAGTCTATCCTTTCTCTGGCCTCCGGCCTAGGGCCTTTCAGCCTCTCTGCTTCTTAGCTGTCGTATTATTAGCGTTTTGCGATTCGAATGGAACTGACGGCTCCAAGAGTGACAAAGTGGCCATCGGGGCGTATGCGTAATATTGTGACAGCAACTTGGCAAGGACAACAACGACGGAGAAGACTCCAGCCAAGGGAGGGAAGGAGGAGAATCAACAACTACAGAGATGCCAGAAACGAGAACAACAGCTACTCAAGCACACTCCTCAACAAGGTCAGCTAATGGTCGTCTTATAGTTCCAATACAAGCATTATAATCTCTTTATATACGTATTTATTCATCTTTTTATCGAACCTATAACCGTTTTTGGCTCCATATCCGAACAGATTTTCCACATTTTACGATTATTAACTGTATGTAAACTGTTAGTTGATAGAAAAAGTTTAGCAAAGAGCGATATAAAACCAATGTAAACTGGCTGCGCCAGTTGTAGTTGAACAAATAACAACCATATATATGTATATTTATGTGTAGTGTTCTTCTTCAGTTTTGAATAAAACCTTGTGTTTAGTATAATTTCACACACACACACACAAATCCAGACTAACAACAAATTAGCTCAACTATATATGAGAAGAGCGGCAGAAAAAGTAGCTCGAAATAGTGTTAAAAAAAATGCCAACATGTAACCCAAACACACACACACTCATTAGTAGTAAACTGTAAGCCTAAAAAAACATGTATAACCCAAACCTATTTTTATAAACTGTGTAGCCCCCCGATCATGTAAATGTCTCTTTCGTTGACCGATTCTGTTTGTTGAAGTGTCTCAATTGAACCCTTTATGGCAGGAGCTCCGACGACAACAGCTGGGAACAGTTGTTTTTCCGCAACCGCAAGACTGACAATTGCCATTTTGCCAGCACAAAACACCAAACTCGACCCCATTCGAGTCCAACAGTAATGCCAAATCCCGACCTTACCCGATATCACAGAAACCAGACCCGGGCGGAAACGCATTTCATGCAATGGCAGACCGAAAAACCCCGGCTAAATAAGTTATTTATTTACAAAAGCAACCGTTAGTACTGCTGCTGCTGCTGCTTTTACGCGCTTCTTTGTATCTGAGTTCCCAGAGTTTCCCGGCACACTAATGAAAACAACATGGCGCACCGGGATTTCGCACAAAAACGTAAACTAAACGTAAGCCAAAGTTGATTGGCGCCATAAAACGCACAACGGCTATGACGAAGGTCGTTGGTTTGATGGGTGATGGGTGGTACTAGTGCCAGGGACATGCCTCGTTACGTTACGTCACGTTACGTTACATCAATTTTTGTGTTTCCGCAGGAAATGCAACTGCTACGTTTCCGCCCACCGCATTCCAGCAGAGCCAGAGTCCTGCTCAATCCTTTGCTGCCATAACCCGTTACCCCTTTTTTTGTTCGGATTCGGATTCGTATTCGCATTCTGTTGTCATTTCAATATTGGCGCTGGCGTATTTTTACTTGCTGCAGCAGCTGTGACCATAACAAGGGAAAACAGCTACAAAAAAAAAACGATAACAATGATAACGGGGCAAAAAGGGAAAAATGGATGAAACTGGGGGGAAAATGCACGGGGAGAATGGCGCCCAAAGGAAAGTGCACAACGCTGGGGCAAACCAAGCATAGTAACTGAGTTTGGATGGGTTCTGGGATTGGTTTGGTTCACTTCGGTTCGGTTCGGTTTGGTTTGGTTTGGTTTAGTTTGGCTTTGGCTTTGTTTTGTCATTGTAGCGTCAACATCCCCAGCCCAAAGCTCGTTTAATAACCGAGCAGCACTTTGTGTTTTCATAACCTGCGTTCCAGTTAGCGCCTCCCCTTTCCCTTTTTCCTTTCTGGCCCATATAGCCCTCCACCCCCATATATATTGTATATGTATCTGTACGTACTTCCTTTCGCTGTTTTGGTTCGTCTTTTGTGTTTGCGTTTGGCATCGTAGTTGTGTCCCGGGACTAGTTAGAGTTGTTTACTTTCGCTTTTGATTGTTTGCTTCCTCGGCACACCGATATAGCGGAGCTATAGCCCCACATGTATAACAATCGCATACTCGAATACTCTCTCTCACTCCATACCCACCTATTTATAAATATATATATATACTCGATCCCCAACTCCTTTCGTACCCCTAGAGCTCAGCCTTGATTACGTTTCGTATACTCTTGAGTGTCGCGGCCACCGCCTACACATATATATGTATCTATTGTAGTCTGTGGCCGACTTTAACGACTTTTTCCAATCGCCTAGCGATGATCCGCCGCCACCAGAGAGAGACCCGCACCCACTAATGACCACTATGTTGCCCTCTTTTTGCCACTTACAGTTGATCTAACCAACGGGCAGCTGACACCCAACAACAATACCCCGCTGCTGACCCAGGCGCTGTCAGGTGAGTGACCTCAATATTCAATTTCAGTTCTACCAGTTTTATATTCAATTTCAGTAGAAGCTAAAGTTGTGTTTGTTTAAAGCATTTTATAGTGTGTTGTTTGTAGACTTTTAAATTTCAAAAAAACATAACCAACTCAACTACATTTGTCTTAATTTAGTATTTAAATAACAACACTCATACGCACTGTTGTCTCAAGATATTGCTGTCTACAAATCACTCATACGCACTGTTGACATTTTCCTCTTTTATCAAATATTTGACAAGTTTTCTCAAACAAGGAAAAAACCTATATAACATTTATATTTATCTCTCTCTTTTTGCAGTGATGAACAACTATCAGGCGGCAGCTGCGGCCGCCCACAGCTTTGGTCCTTCGGCATCCCCACATGCCGCCGCCGCCACCACGGCCACCCGGCAGGGATTCCCCTCGACCAACTCGCCCGGCCCGACCATCGACATGTACAGCTCGGCGGCCGCCGATAATGTGGGCTATGTGCAGGCCACCAGTCCGCAGCCGTCCGGCTTCCCCATCGCCGTCAGCCGCGCCCCATTGAACTACAGCCCGGTAAGTGTGCCACTCTGCGATCCCTCGCATTTAGATCCCGCATCCAGCCAGGTCCCAGGATCCAGACCAGACCGCCAAGCGATCCTGGAGCCTGGCTAGACGGAGGCTAGCCTTTAAGATAGAGCAACACCCACATGAGAGATCAGCGGTTCGGTTCGGTTCGGTTCGGTTGCGAGCCCTCCGCTTGGAACGCTCGTAGGACTCATACACCACACACCCCACACACACACTCATTCTCAGTAGTGATTATGATAATGATAAGGAGAGACTGCCGATGTAGAGCTAAACTATTGCGTTATCCTTCTATATATTGTATGTATTTCTCTTTCATTTCGTACAGATTTATTCGTTGAACTTTGCGATGGCTAATATATAAAAGACTGATAACCCAAAAATATAAAAATGCAAAAGAACAAAAAAAAGCAAAAGTAAAAAGAAAGAAACCCATTATATATTTAAATCGAACAAAATATATATGAAGAAAATACAAATAAAATAAATATAAACGAAAGCAAACAAAAGTAATAAGAGTATAAAACAAACGCAGTTGCACAAGGTAGGCACACCAACAAAACTACAGCGTGTTCTCTTCTTTTTTCAACTAAACAATTTCAATTATTAACAATCAAATTCTTTTTAACTACAACTAGTCGATAAAAAACCAAAAACAAAAATAATTATTATGATCAAAAAATAATAAACGTAAAAATATGTATGCACGTCACAAGCACAGTTTTCTAGGCCGTTTCAATTAAACCATTTATTATTTATTTAAATTGTATACACCAAATATGTATTATATGAATATTTCAATACTACAATATTTCAATATTCCTCCTATGCCTCGCTGCAAACTAAAATAAATCATATCGAAACTTATTTATTATCCATGGCTGTCGGCGAGGTTTGATAAAGGACATGAGACAAAACAATTTGCATTTAATGCATTTTTTATCGTCTACAGCAGAGTATAAATATATATTTTATTTTTGAAAGTTAATTGTTTTTCAAATGAGGAAACTTAAAACAGGAAATTCGTATTGAAATTCTATTTGATTTAACGTAAAATAATTGCAATTTTTAAGTTCGAATTTCCTTCAGGATTATTAAAAAAAGTATTATTAGTTGAAAACTGTTAAAAATACAACTTAAACTGCAAGCAAAGGCTTTTAAATTTCCAAAATATATCAAATTAATTTAATATTTAAATTACAATACTAATACGCACGGTTGTCCCAAAGGTAAAAATCACTCATACGCACTGTTAACAAAACTTTTTTCTTCATAACTTTGCGATTAACGAAAATGTTCAAAGTTTCATTAAGAAGTTAAAGTAAGCATTTTATACAGATGAAGGAGAAGGGGCTTTCTACCAAATCCGCATCTAAAGCCAGTTTTCTTTCTCTTGAAAAATATTTATGTTTGTCTTTGGCATAAGATGGCTTTTAGATACATTTTTTAAAGAAAACCTACTTCTAAAGCACAGGTAAAATTGGAATTATCCTTTATCAAACCTAGCCAACATTTTGTGTGAAAATTTCTTTGTTCTTCATTATTTATTTTAGAAATCGATCAAATAAATCTTAAAGTTTTTCAAACTCTATCTTGTCACTTCTATCTCTATATATTCAATATATATACATATCTGTATACCTCTAAATGTTTACTTTCCTATACATAAATATATTAATATATTTATATATTTACATACATATATGTGTGTGTGCGTAGATATGCAACTAGAAAATTGCATTTTATTTGAATAATTTTTGGTGTTTGCTTGTTTTGTTCTCCACGAAACGTTTATTTACAGGGACCACTAATTCCTGCGGCATTTACAAATGGATACCATTAAAAGGTGGCGCCGACAACCGCAATGACAACAACAACAACAATAGCAGCAGCAACAAAAGCAACAACAACAGCAGCAGCAGCAATATTTAACAACAACCAGCAACAGGAGCAACAAAATGCAACAGCAACTTTAGCAACAAATGACAGATATACACACACAGTCTACACTCACACACAACACACACTGTAATGCTGCAAACCACAGAGAGCGCAACAAAAACAGAAATAATTTAAAATTATATATACATGCATATATATACATATATATATATATATATAAATATAAATCAAATAAAGTACGTATTACATATTACGTGTATTTCCACATGGCAAAAATGAAAATCCGTTAAGAGACAGCAACTGCGAGAGCAACAAACAATAAACCAAACACTCTCACACACACACACACATTATAATTAATTAATTAATTAACGTATATAAAAAATACGTACATATAAACGCATGGCAAAAACCAAAAAAAAAGGAAAGAAACACCCACAAACACATAGAGAAAAGAAGCAAGAACAAAAAAAAAAAAAAGATGAGGAAAACTACGAGCGAACACAAACAAAAAAAAATTAATTTTAATTTAACAACCGCTACAATAACAACAAGAACAACAAGAAGAAGAAGAGCAACTACAGCAACTACAACAACTACAACATCGTGGCCCCGAAAGATGCAACGTGTGCAGCAAAAATCGTTTAAAATGCAAATTAAACGGAAACTGTGCGTCCAACTGGAGTGGAGTGGCATCGGCGAATGGGCGGTGGGCGTGGCTGCTCACACAGCAAAAAAAAAGCTCGGAGGCCTCCGCCCAACCACCACCACCCCATCATCACCCAAACGGATGACAACCCGGGAAAAGGGGCGTAACCATGGGGCAAACCACTTTTAAGTAATGAGAAAACCAACAAACGAAACTCAAAACAAGAAAGGAAGCTAACTTCGGCACGCCGAATTTTGTATACCCTTGCAGATATTATTTCATTGCATTTTACCTATACTTATTATGTTGAGAGTTTGAGAGTTACAGTTTTACATTCCCAGTTTTACATTTGCCCTACACCTACCGATCGGTTTATATGGCAGCTATATGATATAGTTGTCCGATTTTCATAAAGTTTATACCAAAATTCGGAACTAATAAAATAAGCTTATATCTCAGAGTAGATAAAAATAGTTTAAAAAACAACGAAGTTATAATTTTTTTCTACTAATTTCCTGATCGTTCCTATGGCAGCTATATGATATAGTCGTCCGATTTTCATAAAATTTTTACCAAAATTCAGAAATAATATAAAATGGTCATATCTAAAAAATAGTGCACATATGTTGAAAAACAGCTAAGTTATAATTTTTTTTCTAAAAATTTATCGAACATTTGTATGGCAGCTATATGATATAGTCGTCCGATCCGGCCCGTTCCGACATATATAGCAGTGAGAGCATATAGAAGACTATATGCAAAGTTTCATTAAGATAGCTTTAAAACTGAGGGACTAGTTTGCGTAGAAACAGACAGACAGACAGACGGACAGACGGACAGACAGACAGACGGACAGACGGACAGACAGACAGACGGACAGACGGACATGGCTAGATCGACTCGGCTGTTGATGCTGATCAAGAATATATATACTTTATAGGGTCGGAAACGTCTCCTTCACTGCGTTGCAAACTTCTGACTGAAATTATAATACCCTGCAAGGGTATAAAAAGTAAAAACCATAAAAAAAACTACAAAAAAAATACAAGGGGGGATTATAACTAATAAAACGATAGAGTTGAAAAACAAAAGGCAAAAAAATGTTGCAATAATAGCGAAAATGTTATTATTTAATTGCGAATTATGAGATGCAAATTATTATTACCATTATTATTGCTATTCTTAACGTATCTAAGTTGTAACTTTTAAAGTTAAAGTCGATATATATATATATACATATATACACTCTTATACATATAAAGTAAAAACTGCAATATATACAAAAGGGAAATTACTTGAATCAAAACCAAACAAAAAAAACCAACAACCACAAATTATTGTACTTTCAACGATAATCGATATATGGAAAAAAGGTACTCTGGTGACGAGAGAGCCTGGCGTTTTTCTCGGAAAATTGAATTGAACTGTATTGAATTGGATTGGTTTAGTTTCATTTCTCGACCGGGATGGGGGTGAATCAAATCAAAATTGTGCTTACAATTATATTTATGAATTTATTTTGAAGTACAACAAATCCTTTATTGGCCAAAGTAAACAACAAAAGAGGAGAGTAGAGAAACGAATAGAGAAGCAAATGTGAAATGTGAAACGCAAATGCAAAGCAAAAGTCAAAGGCAATTTGTTATATTAACTATGTTGAAGTTCTTCTCTTCTTAATTATTTCTATCGAATCAGGGGAATAAATGTATGTATGTAGAGGGAAAAAAAACCTATAACTTTTGTGTTCACATTGAAAGCAAAATGGTAAATAATGCTAATTAAACAGTGGATAGTTAGACAAATATGTTAAAGCATTAAATATGACAATGAGAGCTAAGTGAGAGAGTGTATTTCTATATGACTCGAGGCATAAATCAATTTATTTGCTAAACAAAAACAATGAAAACCCCAAAACAATGGCTAAAAACAAAACTCTCCCTTTTACAAATGTAAGAAGAACACACCATTTTTGAGATACAAACACACTCACACAGATACAGACAGGACACAGGACACAGGACACAGGACACAGATCTTACTGATAAATCAAAAAGAGAAAAACACTTAAACAAATTAGGTGGTAAGAGCATATGCAAATATAACAATGAACTATTATACATACAACACATATACTACGTTTAAGTAAATAAAATATTTATAAAAAAAACAAACGCGCAAAATCGCCAATGTTTGAACATTTAACTGTAACTGTAAACAAAAGCATGTAAAAAGGATCAAGGAAATGCCGCTCGCTGGCGGACGAAATTGGAAATTGAATGAAAAACAAAGAAAAACCGACGATATGCAGGCCACGCAATGTGCAATTAATTTTTTTCTAGTCGCTCCCCCGTCCGGCGACTCTGAATCGCCCGGACGATGGATGTACTAGACATATGTATTTTGGGGATTACGAGGAGGAGCATAATGACGATAATATGACGACGATGCAATCGGGGGGCGTAATAGAAAAATATATTTATATACAACTATATGGAGTATTAAATTATTGGAAAAGCAAACCAAACAAAAACCTATCAGCTAGATAAGTAAACGACATTTGTTACACACACAGCAAGTGGGGGAAAATTGTAAAGGAAAACAAAATGAAAACCAAAAAAAAACAAAAAACTAACAACAAGCCACAAGAACAAAAAAACCGAATACCAAAATAGCAGAGAAAAACGAAATATTCTATAATTGACAGAACAACAATACGAGGCGCTTTTTGTCTGTCTGAAATTTTTTGCATTAGGCGACGTAAAAAAACTAAAACAAAACAAAAAAACAAGAGCTAACAACTATAGAGAAAGAAAATAGAAAGCAGAGAAAACAGAAAGCCGAGAAAAGCCAGTGAAAAACACAAACAAAAAAGCAAAGCAAATGCCGAAACAACAGTGAAAATGTTCCTTTCATAACTTTTTTGCCAAATTGTCAAACCAACGCTCTCCAGGACTTTGCCGCGTCAAGTCTCGGACCAACAAACTTACCCATAAACATACATATAAAGTAGAGAGGGAAATCGAGGGAAACCGAAAAACCAAAAACTGAAAACCGAAAACCAAAACAACACACAACTTATACGATATATGTATATGTGTAAAGCAAACGGAAACGGAAGTTGCAGTGTATCATACAGTACATTTAACGTTTAAAGTGTTGCAGTTCCCCCCACAAAGATCATTTCAGACTTTCCAAGGGTCGCGGCTTGCGATCATCATCACACACACCACACCACATCCCCTATGAATAATCAAAAACAAAGCTAACAAATTAAGTGAAAAGCGGAAAGACATTTTAGATAGACAAAGATCAGACCACTGGCAGTCGTCTGGCATATCCGGGAGTTTGAACGGCCCGGCATTACTTTAGCAGGTCGAAGGTCGTTTGGGAGGAAGAGGAGATTCCAGCTGCGGCTCCTACCCTGCGGGGCAGATATTTTTAAAAGCGGGGAAAGCGAGCAATGGGCAGCAACGGCAAACATGTTATATTTGCATAATATATATATATATATATATATTAAACCTACTTCTAAGGCATATACATATATATATAAAATATATTTTTAAGACATGTTCTAAAAGCAATAATTCAAAACAACAAGAACAACAGCAACAAGGAGAAACGGAGGCCGAAGTTGAGGCCATCCCCAATGAATACATAAAATATACACCAATATATAAATATACACCTACACGTAAATATATATACATGCATAAAAAAATATATATATTATAAAGAGAGCGATTAGCCAAGACAGATCTGGACTTTTCCAAGCCGAGCTAATCATTTCGCAGGCAGCTAGCTATGCCCAGACTCGTCTCCAACTAGAAACTCGTATTATTTGTGGCGTAGAACGGGGCCCATCTCGGGACCCCACCTGAGCTCGGTCCCAGGGTCCGTGTTAACGTTGTAAGTCGACGATCGATGCAGCTTTAAGTGTAATGTTGAGTCTTTCCCCAGCTGTTTTCCCAATTTCCCCGCCAACGCCAATCGTTGCGAGCCTGCGCTTTCCTTTCCTGCATGCCTGATTTGTAGGGCTCTCTATGTATTCTATAAGGAAGCTATAACTACTATTGGTGTACCGGATCAACTTCAGCTAAAAGAATACCGAAGCAACAAGCAATGCGTCCTTGTAACAAAATCAATTTCAGTCAATTAGAGAACTTCACACCAGCAAAGCACAGAAGAGCAACATGTAAGACAGCAAGAACAGCAAGCAACAAGAACATTTTTTAAAAACAAAAACCCAAAAAAACGAAAAAACGAACAAAGACAAAAACAGTTTTCATTATTTTTTTACTGAGGCGCCGTCAGAGCGAGGATCGGGGAGGAGCTAGGAGAAGGCTCGACGGCGCAGGCGCAAAAGCTTTAAATTGAACAAAGGAATAAAAATATAACACGAACAAGGAGAACAATTTATAGAAATCGACAAGTGAGCTCTCTTTTTTATATCGAGAATCGGAGAATTGTGTGTGTGTATAAAAACCAAAAGTATGCCGTAACGATTTTTTAAAAATAATGTACCCATACTCTAAGCCATACGCAAACTTTCGGTCAAAAATTCAGTCAATTGGTGGTGATCGAAGCCAAACAAAACAAAAATATATATAAAATGGGGTTTTTAGTGAGGGGAAAACCTTCAACCAAACGCGGCACGAAAAGACATAAAGTGTAATGTAAAATAGTTTTAAATTTGGCGACACACCAGAAGGCGGAGTTACGTAGTTACATATACGAATTGCTTTCCGTTTTTCTCTTATTATTGACTTACAAACATATCAGTTCTTATTATGTGTATGAGTATAGCAACAACATCAACAAATACGATTACAATTACGATAACGATAAAGATTAATGAAATACAACTTACAACTAATATCTAGCGCTAACGAACGAAGATCCTTTCTTTTTACCAACAAAAACCCGCAACCACACAGATGAGCCGCCCACTTGGCCTTTTTGAGAAGCGCGTAGAGAGGCGCAAAATGGCGCCCGGTACGTGGGAAAAATAATGAGAGTAACCATTCACAATACGACTTGTGGGCCTTCTACACTTTGACGTGCTTTTATACGATAGCAATCCTTTTACTTACACAAGACATTTCTATCCTAGGTTCTTTTTTATAGACATGTGTACATACACCACACTCACCCCACACCCACACGCTACACTCTACACACCAGCCACAAAGCCACAACTACAGCCCTTAAGACACGCCACAGACACGGGCACACGCATATATACGATGGAGATCACATACAAAAGAACCTTCATACGAAC